AATTAATTAGTAATTTATTTTACTAATTAGCAAGCTTTACAACTCAAAATTCTCATTAATAATAAAATGTCATCGAAAATTTCGGCAAATAAATGCATAATACTAAGAAAAAAATAAAAATAATATAACACAGTAGTAAAAATAATTATTAAAAATAATATTTATAAATAAATTATGATGACGGTGACAAAACAGCTACTGTGGTTATCGAAACCTTTGTTATTAATATAACCAATTGGTATATTACCCGTCTTATTTTATTTCAATTTACAAATAATGAAAGCTTAAATTCGTTCAGATTAGTTTGTTTAAATAAGTAATTAGGCAGCTTTAGTTGAGTAATTGATTGGTTGGTTGGTTGGTTGATTGTGATTGGTTGGATGGTTATGATTGGTTGATTGATTGATGATTGATTGATGTTTGATTGATTGATATTTAATTGATTGATTGATTAACTGATCGACTGATTGGTTGGTTGGTTGGTTAATTGATTGATTGATTGATTGATCGATCGATCGATCGATCGATTGGTTGGTTGATTGATTGATCGATTGATTGATTGATTAAAATTATTAACGATATTAATCTCGTAAATTTTGTTATTAATAATTAAAATCTTCAAGTTAAAAAAAAGAAAACTTAATAAATGGTGTTTGATTACATAAAATTTTGTTTCGTTATCTCTTAGAATGATGTTGCGTGGTGACTGATGGGAGGTAGATTATGAATAATTAAATGATAATGATGGAGAAGATGATGAGAATGTTTGTTGATAATGAATTTTTATTTAAAATTAAAAAAAAGTTGATTTATATCAATATTTGAAATTTAAACTGTGTGAAGTCTGTTATGTGGTGTGTATGTGTTAGTGTGTGTGGAAGTAGTGTGTGGGTGTGGAGGTGGGGTGTATGTGTGTGGAGGTGGAGTGTGTGGAGGTGGTGTATGGTGGTGTGTGGAGGGTTGGGTGTGTGTGTGTGGGCTTATTATCACACTCAAAGATGACCTAATTTGTATGAGTCGCTAGCCAATGAAATATCAAAAAATAGAAATAGATCAGATGGATTGAATGAATAATTATGCCGATGAAGGAATATGTGGGCCAAATCGGACAGAAGACTTTTCTTTATTTTCGAAGCCCACGGTCAGTGATTGGTCAGACGAATTCACATAAACAAAGCGCGGGCAACATGTGCGTGTTGTGTGGTGCGTGTATTAGGCAACCCGTCAATCTTCATACATTTCTTTTGTAATTTACAACTTACAATATCGATGTATGTTATATGCAAATAAGAGCGCGAATACTGGCTGCATTGTACGTGTGCAAGCTCGTATCACGTGCACACTAGCCTGTGCACACACACATAGTTACACGGACATTTATGCATGTGTATATAAAGGATAGCGAAAACCTATCCGCATTTCAGTTCTTTAGTTATTTGTGGTTCTCTGGCTTTTGATTTTTGCCTCCCCCAGCAAACTTTGTGTTTTCGTGATTAAGGTTAGTCGCGTTCATGTTGCTCCATTATATCATATTTTGTAATTTTCGTGAGATTTCAAATAAAAACGGCATGTCACTCTTATGTTACTGCGTTTCTGTTACTTCAAATTTTGCAATTTACTAGGAGGTTTTAAACAAGAATTCGATTTGATTTTGAAAATTTTATATAAAAAAAATCTTACTTATGTTTAGTTGTTATGCATTTGGTTATGGTAGGCAAGCATTTAGTCGAGCTGGTTTTATTTTTCGCATGTCCTGCTAAGAATAAACTGCAAAAAAGCAACGCTGAGAGTTGAGGTCGTCAAAGTTTTAGCGTATGAATGAAATTCCTATTGAAAGTTGACACTCCTATTTTGTTTCGATCGAATAAAATTAAATATTTGATTTTATTTGAATTGAAATTATTAAAAAATGAAATTGTTCATTTTATTTAATACTTAACTAATAAAATCTACAACATTTACGACACAATAGTAAAACATTAAAAAATGTAATGGATCGGTAACATGTTAAAACGTTTGGAGCAATCAATTATTCGATATATTATTTTACGTTATTAAATTATAAATTAATAATAGGAAATAAAATTGTTACATTAAAACGTGACAGAAGGTTTCTTTAAAAAATGCAATCGTTTTATGGTGGGTAGTTGTTGTTTAATCTAAAAAAGTTCAAATTATAAATGTATATATGTTTGTGTGATTGAGTGTACGTGTATGCTGTTATGTGTGTTTAGTATGTGTTGGTAAACTTCGGTGAGAAATTCAATTGAACTTCGGTCCAGATACTCAAGATTGTGAGGTGGTGGATATTTATTGGTGAGAGATGAATGTGGTGAGATGATGAGGCGGTTATGGATTGCGAATGATTCGATTGGTTGGTTGGTTGGTTGACTGATTGATGATTGAATAATTTGTTGATATATTGGTTAGATAGACTGGCTGGCTGGCTGGCTGGCTGGCTGGCTGGCTGGCTGGCTGGCTGGCTGGCTGACTGACTGATTGCTCTGATTGATTGCTCTGATTTTTTTAAATACAATTCTAATTATTTGGTTGAGAGAAAATTGATTGTACGTTTAAAGAATTGATTAGTGAAATATTGATTGCTAGAAATAATAATTGATGATTGATTTATTAAATGATTGATTGATTGATTTATTAAATGATTGATTGATTGATTTATTAAATGACTGACTGACTGACTGACTGACTGACTGACTGACTGACTGACTGACTGACTGACTGACTGACTGACTGACTGACTGACTGACTGACTGACTGACTGACTGACTGACTGACTGACTGACTGACTGACTGACTGACTGACTGACTGACTGACTGACTGACTGACTGACTGACTGACTGACTGACTGACTGACTGACTGACTGACTGACTGACTGACTGACTGACTGACTGACTGACTGACTGACTGACTGACTGACTGACTGACTGACTGACTGACTGACTGACTGACTGACTGACTGACTGACTGACTGACTGACTGACTGACTGACAGATCTGGGTCTTAGTACGCTGAAACAGATATTAGTTAAGAGTATAAATAACACCGAGATGGTAATGATGTAAAGATGGTGAGAATGGAGGGGCCTAAAAATCAAAATAATAAATAAATAAATTTAATTTAGAAGCTACACACATTAAATACGTATGTTTTTATTTTCAATTCAAAACGATTTTAATTTATAAACGTTAAATTTGCTATAGGGAAACTTAAATTTATTGATGAAAAAAAATCCGAAATTTTCAAAATTACAATGATGTAATAGCTATGCGGTGATAAAAATGATAAACTAGGATAAAAATGATTTAAGCTGAGCTGATCAAGGCATAAATATGTAATTATGGTTGAGTTTGTGAAAGCAAGCGTGTGTGTGTGTGTATGAGTGAGTGTTGGTATATATATATGTGTGTTATTGCGTGCGTGTGTGTGTGCTCGTGTGTGTGTGAGTGTTGATTGTTTATATACATATATATATATGAGTGCGTGATGTAATAATACGTTCGCATAGGATGAATAAGTAGTATGAATCATCGATGATAGCCATAGAAATGATGATATTATATTAATTGTTATCATTTTTATCGTCATCATCTTGGACAAGAGAATAATTTTTACCATTTGTTCTTCCATCATTATCATTCAAGTCATTTACATCGTTTTCGTCATCACCATCGTCATTATTTTTTGATTATCATCGTTATATTAATTATCATCATCGTCTTCATCATCATGATCATCGTTGTTTATGTAATCACCATCTTGAACATTACCATCATTTTAGTCATCATCGCCGTCGTCTTCACCCTTGCTACATTATAGCGAAAGTCATTTGACCAGTTGAAATCGTGGTGAAATAATTGCTATTGAATTTAAATATATACTGAGTTTAGTGAAGATGACGAGAACGAAATTCATGATGATGATGGTGATTATAATGATGGTGATAATGATGGTGAGGATGATAATGATGATAATGTTTACGATGATTATGATGTAATTATGGATGGTTATGATGTTTAATAATGATGATGACACGGGTAATTATAGTGATGTTGATAATAATGATAATGTCAAATGATAATAGTGATGTTAAGAATGATAACGACTATGATAATGATGAGAAAGATCAGATGAATCATTAAAAACTCGCAGGCTTACATCAACACTAACCTAATCGATGTAAATCATTCCATAATGCCAATAACGTTTACCTAATTACATGCACTCACAAACATGCACACATACACACAAACACATACATACACAAACATATATACACACAAACATATACACACACAAACATACACGCACAAACATACACACACAAACATACACACACAAACATACACACAAACATACACACACAAACATACACACAAACATACACACACAAACATACACACAAACATACACACACAAACATACACACACAAACATACACACACAAACATACACACACACAAAGCAGAAACACTCACTGGCATACAACCATCAACTGATCTGCAGCCCATATTAATATATCACTCCTATTCATTATTTTCTGGTATTACCATACATAATACATGATTCATACACACACGCATACACACACATATATATATTTAGCATGATATTGCATATACACATACGTACAGTTAATGCAGACTATATATGTGTATTTACGCATACAATACGCAAACAGAAGTGCGTTTCATATAAATAAGAGACATCAACTCTAAATGATTTTGGTCTTGTTTGTGTCCTTTGATTGTTTAGTTAATTGTTTGATCAGCTGGGAATTAAATTTGAATTTTATGTTTTTTATTGTATTTGAAGTAAATTTAATTTGATAGTATTAAACGTATATATATATACAGTGGTAGCAATAGTAGTGCATTATATATTTAACTTGTTAAAAAATTAATATAAATTTAGTATTTTTAACAATACACTTTACAAAATAAATCAACAATTATCGAATTATTTTTGAAAATATTGAAGATGAAATTGTGAGTTTAATTATATTTAATGGTTTTATGTTTAAATTATTTTTTCCAATTTTTGATTCCATTTTTGTTCATTTATAAAAATGAATCCAGATTATATTTGAATTTCATAGATCACCGCAAGTGAATTGTAAATATTGCGCTTGGCATGATTTCGATCCTGGTATTTGCAACACGCACACACACGCACACACACGCACAAACACACATATATACTGTATATACGACAGCCTGAACCCAAATTATATATATATATTATATGCAATATAACGAATATCACTATAAAATATAACAAAATATGTTAATCATTTAAAATAAAATTTATTTTCAGAATTTGCAATCCTCAATACGAGTACGAAATTAGATCTTTAGAAGATATGGACTTGAACAACCAATACATTTCCTCCGACGAGATATCCCTGCCTGCAATGTCCAGGACGAACAGTCAAACTCCATCGCCGACCTTCAGCTTCGACACAATTACAAGTCAGAATGTTTCTGCATATGAAGAGAAGAAAATGATGCAACTACAACTACAGCAACAAATTCAACCATTGTTGCCATATCCATACAAATGTGAACAATCTCAACAGCAGCAGCCACAGCAGCTTCCATTGCAACCTGATCTATGGTACAAATCAGGAGATCAACAAGCTCATCTGCCACAGCTTCAAAAATATAATTATTTATTGGAACAACAACCTCTGCAAACAAATGTAACCAAATCAGTGATTGGCCAAGAAAGAAATACAAAGCTATCTATAAAACCTAGTGCCAAACTTCCAAAATCCAGTGCCAACCTTCAACAATCCAGTGCTAACCCTCAAGGAGCCGACAAATCGGTGAACTATCGAAATGACGACAGTGATATGGATGCTTGGCTAACGCCGTTATGTTGTTTGTGCTCGAAAAGTTCGGAAAACATGTTTCTTTTAAGCTGTGTACACATATACTGCATCGACTGCATTGCGTTACACATTACAAGTAATTCAACTAATTTCCTCTGCGTGAGATGTGGGCACCTGCAAAACTTCTCCTTGCCAAAAGGTAAACTTGCAAGAGATTACACAGCCAAGAACAGCCTTCAACTTGAAAAAAGTGGAATTGTTAGAAGGTCACCTGAAATATTTGAGAATGATTATACAGTATGCAGACTCTGTAAAACTGCAGATCAGCTAACGGCCCCAGCAATAGCCTACTGCCAAACATGTCAAGCCGGTATATGCGATGTATGCGTGAGTGTGCACAGACATATGGGTAACTTTAGAAATCACAGTTATGAGTTGAATTACAAAGTTAGACCATCTGAGTGTTCATTGCATAAAATTATCATGATTGGTTACTGTTGGAACTGCGAAGTAGCCATTTGTAATACTTGCTACATAACTAAGTGCTTTCCTGACCAACATGGAGTTACATCAATGGTTGATAAAAAACAACTGACTGACATCAAGAATAAATTAGCAAACCATGTGAACGCTGCTAAAAATTTGGTTAGATTCTTTGTTATGTTATAACTGCATTATATGTTATTATGTTTATTCGTTGCAACCATATTGTTAACACGTTTCAGGTACCATTCGTGACTGAAGCATTAAGAAATTTGCATCATGGTAAAAATATTCTGATGTTGCAAGATCAGTTGATCAATGTAGAATGTTTGAATCCACTGAACGATCAGCAAAGTTTAGCAGAGAGAAAAATGTTTAATTTTTGCAACATGGTAAAAATTCTTTTAACTTGTTTGATTAAAATTAAAAATGTTAAATATATATTGCATTCATCTGTTTTAAACTTCAGAAACAACTAGAATTGAAAATAGACGAACTAAGCCGTGATATACCTATTGGTGGGAGAGCAATCTTGTATTACGAAAGGTTGCTTCGTCTTACAGATGACGTCGGCCTATTAAGTGCGAAAACATTTTTAGAAGAAAAACTCAAGTCCTTCATTCATGCTGGATATTCAGTTTTAGAGAATGAAATGCATCAAAAAAATATAGAAATCCCTTACATTCTTCCCATTCCTGAGGGCGCCAATTTCAACGCAGACGAACAATCAAACATGCTGTTATGTGAAATGAGTCAAAACTTCAAAGGACTTACGGTAAATGATGGAGTTTCTAATTTAGAAACTGTGAAGCAGGAGAAACGGAACTTTCAAATAAAAGGCCGCTCGGATTTGTATCCGACTCAATCATCCATTAATCAGGACGCTAACGAAGCACCATTCAATCAGCCAAAAAGTTTCAAACAACTGACGACAGTTAACCAATTATTTCCTTCCAAACAGAAAATATTGTCAAAGCCTTCAAGCCAAATTTGGAAAAAACCAGAACCTACTTCTAAAATAAATGACGTTTTTTCAAATGCAGACCAATTTCAAGTTTGTCTTAAAATGCTTTCTAATAAAATTTTGATTACGATTGATTTTTTTAAATTTTGGAGCTAAATTTTTAATATCAGATACCCGATGAAGAAATACCATACTATGCTGGAAAAAAGAAGATCTTGGTTGAGGGTGATCGAGTCTACCGAATCAAGTTGGCTTTCGTTAATAGTTTTGGGAGTGGTCAAAATCCATTTAATGATCCGTGCGGAATATGCTCAAACAAAAGTGGCAATATCTTAATAGCAGACTCCAACAATCACAAGATTAATATTTTCACTGCTGAAGGCAAATTTATTGGTCATATTGGTTCAGAGGGAAAAAAAGGTGATGACCGGCTAGAATATCCAAACAGAGTAGCTACATGCCCTAAGACCAATAATATTGTCATAACGGAAAGGAAACCTTCTAATCATGTAGGTGTTTTAATAATTCAGTATGTCTTAAAATGACATTTCATTACCAGTTAATAACAATGTAACAAAATATGCAGATTAAAGTTTTTACGTCTGATGGAGCGCTTGTGAAAAAGTTTGCCGGTCCCAATTTTATTCAGAACGCTAGGAGTTTGTGTGTTGATGGTGACGGAAACATAATAGTGCTAGAGAGCAAGGTCAACCGTGTCAGCATTTTTGACAAAAGCGGAGAAGTGGTGAACCAATTTAGTTGCCCTCAAATGAGCTTCCCCATGTCCATCGCCGTCAACGATCAGCAAGAACTTTTCATTTGCGATAACAACAGCCACTGTGTTATGGTATGTTGCACTTAATTATAACAAAAATATATTTTTTAAGATTGTTATCAAAATTGAAAATCTTGACCAACAGGTGTATACTATCTCCGGGGAGTTCTTGAGAAAGTTTGGTAATGAAGTAGTGACACAATATCCAGTTAGCGTTAAAGTTGGTCAGAATAACGAGATTTTTGTCTTTGATAACCACAGAAACTTTAACGCTACCGTATTTGATCGGAATGGTACTTTGTTAGCAGCCTACGAAGGTAGACACAAACATGCTCAAGTTTATGATGTTTGCCTGAACAATGATGGCTCTATAAGCTTCACTGGCAAAGATTACATGATAACCACTTACAGGCTGCCTTCACGGCATCGCTTATATGTTAAAAAGAATTATGAAGAATCCGGTGCTAGCAACGATATGATCGCTGATTCAAACGCGGCCGAAAATATGCCAGCCAACATCAGCAACTGTATAATTGCCAATTTTAACGTGGTCGTAAATAATATATCAGCCAAGTATTACTCTGACAGCAACAGCCAACAACAACCGAACAGATTTCCATTATTGCCTACTCCTCTTAGTAGTGCCGATTTCAACAGCAATGCCATCAGCAAAAACGGTACCCTCAGTAACATCAGAAATGCCATCAGCAACAATAGCAATGTCATCAGCAACAATAGCGATGCTAGAAGCAACAACAATGTTGACAGTGAGCGCTATCAGTCTGCTTTGTCAGATTATAGCTTGTTCAGCACCGATACTGGTTACATTTCGGCGCGTCTAACTCCGGTGTTGTTTAAATTTATTTAAAAATTAATTTTATACACGCGTGATAAGTGGCCAAACTATTTTTACATGAATTTGTTACGGTGGTCGTAACAATTCACCGTTTTAAGGAAAAAGTATTTGAAATAAGTTGTTTGCTTGTTTGGGTAATTAGAGTTATGCTGGATATAAGTTTGTCAATTTTTTTCTTGTTAGATAGCTATAGTTAGATTTGTTTTTATGGTGATTAGATTTTTTTTTTACTATTATTTGTTATCTCTACAGTTATGAATACTTTTGTTATGTATATAAGCAACTGATGAAAATCACAACATGTTCGGCGTTACTAATCATCCTTTTTAACTGCTAACGCCGATCATGCTGTGATTTTCACTATTAATTGCATTTCCGACAAGCTTAATGCATCATATGCAATATTTGATAAAATCCACAGAATTTTTAGCCTCAATATTTCTGAAGCTCAAAATTCGGTAGATTATATCAAATATTGCATCATCCAGCCAAAATATGTATATATATGTTATGGTATGTGTATGTTCGTGAACGTATATATATACTATGTAACATGATTATGAATTGGTATATACACTAACCCTACATATATATATCATTTCTCAAAATTTCCATTGTAATTTATCTTATTTTTATAACTTTGTCCTTGCTTCAGTATTAAAATATAAAATTTGTTACTTGTTCGTTGCCAGCACATAAGCGAAGTCCTTTTGTTTAAAATGCTTAGGGTTTTGATTCAGAATGGACTGTTTTGATTCAAATATTGTTGGTTAAAAATTTGTTACATCATTGGCCGAGTTATTTTATCACGCGATTAAATATTTTTCGAAAGTTTTTTTTATCTTGATAGTTGATGTTTATCGGTTATTATCTTCAAAGCTATTTTGTATGTTTAATTAAAATTTCTTATTTCATTTATTAATTTTCTGTGTTTTCGTTATCATTATTTTTTCGCCAGTGCGTCCGAGCCTGAGTGTTATACGTCTATTTTTTGCTTATTGATATAATTTATGAAAAACTCGACGATGGGACAGTCAACAATAGAACTGAATCTGTATTGTAATATCAGATTTAATAATGAGAGGTTTCAACAGTTGCGCGATTGTGTTTTCAGTAATAATTTTCAATCGTTCATATTTATTTAATCATGATAAATTTAAATGTTTGGATAATTAATTTGCCTTTTTGTTTCTATTTATTTAATCATCCATGTTGTTTTTACATTACTTTACATATTCTTGATATAAGATTATTATTAGTTGTAGTTGAAATGTTGAAAAGATTTGTGATATGTACAGTACATACAAAAGATTTGAGTGTTACGTATGTTTGAAGGATTGTGCTTAGAGACGTAAAGCATAAAGTATCGAAAAATTAATAGAAATTATTAATTTTCATCATCATTATTAATATATCGTGCTTATTGTATTTTGTTTCTTATCTTATCTTGTTTCTTTCATTAAACATTTTTTGCATATTTATATAATTTAAAACAAACTCGTTGATGTAACAGTTAAAATGTAATGTAATACTAAAGAGTTGGATTTTAACATTTTATTGATATAGGATTGTCAGCTGTGGTTGAAATGATTTGATTTGTGATATGTGTATTACATATGTTTGAAGGATTGGGCTTAGAGATGTGAAGATCCCTCTTGATTAGCTCAAAATAATTATCCTTAATGGATTTTGTTCCAACATGAAATTTTAGTGAATTTTTTTTGTGAGCTATTATGTATGTTTTAGAACTATATGTGAATGTTAAATGTTTTATTTAATTATGCTTCTAATCAGCAACATCTATTTATAACATATTCGTAGATAAGAAACTCGCATTCACATGCAATAGTTTCTGATATATAAACATATAATGTCTATGACAGGAATAATTTATTGTGTTTTCAGTAACAATTTTTGTTTGTTCATAATTATTCTATTTAGTTATCGTGTTTCAATAAATGACATTTTAACTGTTTCGAAATTATTTTTGTTTTCTTGTTATTTTTGAGTCCATTAATTCCTTTCATGTAAAATGTCAGTTGCATCGATTCTGATTGAAATGTTGAAGAGATTGGTTGTATATACATAATTACATTTGCGTGTTATATATGTTTGAAAGATATGAAGGCCCTGGGGAAACGTTTAGTATAGGCCCCTTCCTAGTTGGCTCTAAAGTCAACTTGGCTCCTGCAAAAAAGTAGAGGGCCTTTCATGGTGGAGGTGCCGGAGCAGTAGCCCCCCCCTCCTGACACCTGAGCCCCACTCTGTGTGGCCCTGTATGATTGCTGTTTTGATATGTTTTTTGATATTGTTACGATATTTGAAGGGTATTAACCCTTTATCGTTTGTTATTAAACGTTGTTTTCCTCTTGTTTTCAATGTTTTAAACTATTTGAAATTGTTGTCATTTTTAAGATTTTTTTGGTGAGATGTAGTTAACATATTTGCCATAATTTCATGATCGTCTACTAGAACGTTGAAGTATATATATATAAAGCAATATAATGTTGATCACAATGATATAAAATAAGCGCGAACTTTTTATGTAAATGTTTTCAAAAGAACTTGTTTGCTCAGGTACACTGAATTTGATTTAATTCAAACAATGACTTCATCATTTTTATATTTTTCAATATATTAATAATAAGCTTAGTGTTAATTTATAAAATGTTCTAAATTATATCAATTAAAATTATGTTATCAAAGTTGTTGCTGATTTTAATTAAATTATTAAAAAAAAATCGGGGTAATTTAATTATTGATGGCCTGTTAGCCTAGTGAGCAGATCTGCCATGATTCAAGCTGTTATTCCGAGATGACTTGCCTACGGCAGAGAAGTTTAGTTTGCGGACTGCAAGCAAATTAGCGATAACTTTCGAGGAAGAATTTTACACTCGGCCTGCATGTGAATTACGATAATCTTATGAGAACCGAATACTAAGAATTTACGGCCATGAAACATCTGATGGGAGAAGTTTAATTATTGACGTATGGTTTTATTCATTGATTTATCTGCTGATTAATTATTGTGTTAGCGATTTTAACGATTGATTGAGTGATTAGTCACAGCAATACACACCAGTGATTGCCAGAATTGTTTTCTTCTAAATTATAAAATAAGTTCATCTAAAATAAGTCTGTTCAGAAGTCAAGAATCCACGTAGAGAAGTAACTGTACCCTACAAGTTTAAGTGGTAGGTTATAGCACTATAATACTAGTAGGAATGTGTAATATTAATGAATGCTACATTTATATAAACTTCAATTTCAATTAATACTGACAATTTTTATTTATATTACAGAATGAATAAAATTATAAAACGTTAATTTACTGATAATGAAATGTTTAATTAAAACCTCTTAGAATCTTCGTCAGTTAGATGTTTTAAGTAAATTTTCAAAAAATCAAAATCAAAATCCTACCAACATATAGACCTGAAATCCAACATGTATGCCACAAAGAAGTTTAGAAACACCAGTAGTTAAATCATTAAAAGACTAAAATCTAATTTAAAATAAGTGATCAAAATGTGTTTGAAATTTATTAAAAATGGAGCACAAGCCATTGAGATTCGTTATAAGCCGCAATAACTTTGTTAGTTCTTTGTATGGATTTTAAAAAAGGATTTTAGGTTGGCAGACGAATAATTTTTTTATATTTTGATTAAATTAATTTTATTATATTATATTTATAGATACACTCGAACACTTTTTTGACTATACATGGCTCAATTTAGATTAGATAAATGTACCTACTCTACAGTCAAAATTTTTCTCAAGCCATAATAGCTCATGATCGCGATATTTACATCAATTAAACTACACAAATCCGCGGCACTTAATTTTAGTTCGCACTATTCCGCTTTACGAAAAATAAGTAATTTGCAATTTTAGTTTTGGATAGGAAGTTGGAAGAGAATAAGACATTGAGAGAATTCATTAAAACATTTACACTGCAATAAATACAAGACAATAAAAGATCGACAGTTTTTAGCATATCATAATTGATTTATAAGAACATTTTTCAAGTTCTTTCTGAAGTATGATTGCGTATTAGAGAAAGTCAAAAAGTAAAAACATTTGTTTAAAAACTTTTTTTCTCAATTTTAAAAACCCAATCCACAGAAGCAAAAACCGCAAACAGCAAAAACCGCCGAGTTTTACAAATTTGTTATAACCAATCGCAGATGCATTGTGGTTAGTGTGGTTGTCCATAAAAAGGCTTTAGCTCGTGTTAGCTCCGAAAACATCAAGCAACATCAATAGCACCAGTACTGTGATTAATGAAATTTTAAACTAACATATAAAAATGAACATCTTTTAAAAAAAAATTTTAATAACGTTAATCAATATTTGATAACCAAACTAATGTATTTTTAAATAAAAATTGTTCGTATTTATTCAATTGCTTACCGTCTAATTTACTTACTAATGTTATACACAAGTTCATGTCTTATTTTCAAACAAATTCACCCACTAAAATGTCTATGGTGATTATTTTACAAATTTGCATTGCATTTTACAATCTTCAGTAAATAAAACAATGTAAATTTAAATGAATATTCATAACCATATGTTTACGCACACACACACACACACACACACACACACACACACACACACACTCACACACACACAATTGTACAAGTTGGTGGGTATAAATATGAAAGCCCCAAGACATATTATTTTCAGGTTCATGTTACTACACTATAAGAAGTTTTCGTTAAAGTATTTAGTAATTGAAAGTAATCGTTAAAGTTTTTAGATCAGGTAGGTGGATTTAAAAGATATTTTTTCGTTAATCATTGTCGAGTTTAATTTAAATTGAATTTCAATTATTCAAATATTTTGCTTAATCTCGGTTTATTTTATGATGATCTATCGTCTGAATTGATTCAATTAATGTAAATACTTTCAACAGAAAGAGGATGGCTGCAAATCTAGAGGAGACTCTAGCAACCAACCAGAAGAATGTAGTTCGGCTATTTCAATGGTTTTCAGCCACACCCATACTGGCTTTTGTGTCCGAGTGTGAACTTATATACGTTAGCAATATCCACAATAACGACGACGTGGTAAAGCTTTCATTCACAATCGCGGGTATAATTGCAAATTTGTATTGCCTCATAAACCAACTTTCGATATTTATATACAGTTATATAAAATAAAATTAATATACACCTAAAGCTGTCTATCTGCCACTATTAATTTAATATGTTAAACTTTATATTAAGTTATATTAACGGAAGCTACAAACACAACAAACAAAAAAATGATCTTTTTTTTGTAAAACCTCTAATGATGAAATTCAAAATTTAATCGAGAAATGGATCAAATCTTTTTTTGTAAGACCTCTAATGATGAAATTCAAAATGTAATCGTGGAATGGATCAAGTTCATGATGAATGTTTGTTTGCTAATAAAGTAGGATTATCAACATCTTCATCATCCTCATCATCATCACTATTGTCTTCGTCATCATCATTGAATACGCCACCATCATCACCATCTTTGTTTTCATCACCATCTTCACCACCAGCACATGGCTGGTGAGTTCTGTCGAAGAAGTAATCAAAGGGGTAGTCTGTCTTGCTGTATCCAAGCTTCATGGTCGCCTCGTCGTCTGCCCGTTTCTGCAACTGTCGCGCGACCAATTTCGGAAAAATTATTTATTTTATAGCATAAAGTTTGAATGATTAGTATGGAGTTTAAACGATGCAACACGAACAAAATGTATGGTTACCATACTATGGCTACCTGCTAGCATGTGCAAATATTTTTCAAGTACATCAAATTTTTATGTATATTTTTATGTATATATGTATATATATGGCCAGCCGATATATTCTTAACGAAACAAAACGTTTTAAGCTGTTTAACAGCGTGACTGCTCTAGGTGACAATGTGTTTTGGAACAAGCAGTCAACTGAAAGTTTCAGAGATCTGGATTCAGAAGAAAGTGGAAAGATTATAATTAAAAAAAAATCAAGATGATATCGTTTGAACTTTCAAAACTTTCACCGAGTTTGGGAAAGAAACAGGATATGAAGGAGTTTATTGATGCGATTTTGAAAACCGGCTACACAAAATGCATTTTTAAAGTTAGCATAATACACACAAATATAAATTTTTACATTTGGGAAGCAAAGCATATGAAAAAAATACATCAAGATCGTAGTATCATAAAAGTACCAACCTGAGCAATGAAATCCATGCCGTCTCCAGTTATGTTCAAGTCGGTGATGTTATTGAAGAGTTCTTGCCATGTTAAGACATCCGCCACTCCACGCTTTGTGTAGAACTTGAAGGAAATAATTAATCAACTAATTAATTAGTGGCGGGAAAATCTTGGAAAAATATCAGTAGAATAAATCAAAAAACTCAGCAATCAATCAATAAATCGCGAAATTCAATCAACCTTAGTAAGATTTTGACAATCTCGGATGAGGAACTCGAGCGCCTTCTGGTGCATGTGATCAACTGACTGTGCTACATCGATGACGTAAACAACACCACGGTGCCACAGTGTGTTGAATTCGCTGAAGTCTGCGTGTACTAGCTTGCATTCCTTGTACATTCTCGTTAGTATCTGCGTTTGTTGAGATGATGAGGAGGTGAAAATGATGGTGGTGGCCGTTAGAAAAGAAGCTTCATTGAAATAGCGAAAGCGTCCTGTATGAAGTGTCGTTGTTTTGCAGCAGTAGTAGTTGCCGTAGTTGTTGCAATAGCGATTGTTTTGAAAAAATTATTTAGGAATTTTTTTTAGGAAACTAACATCAACACACTGGCTGTAAGCATCGTGGTATTGCTCCAAAGAGAGTGGGGCCTCACTGAGCTTGGGTGCTGCCACCTGGCTCTCACCAATAAACGTCATAACCAGGATGTGTTTTTTTAGGGCAAGTGGCTCAGGGCATGGCAGGTTGAAACGCTGCATTCTGATAGGTCATTGGTCAAACGGGGGTTTTATATGCTTTTTATTCTTTTTTAACTTTTAGTAAGATAAAAATATTACTCAAACAACCAAGCAATCAACCAATCAATCAACCAATCAATCAACCAATCAATCAATCGACCTTTTCAAATTAAGTTCCTCCTTCTCAGCCCATATCTTCATGATCTTTCTTGGGTTCTGCTTCTTGAATTCATCTTTAAAAAATCTCAAATCACCCTTCACGTAGTCACATCTGAATAATAATGACAATAGCCTTATTATCATAATCCTCACCCCATAT